CTGGTGTTGGCCAAATGCATAACTATTCATTCCCTCTCATCGCCTTCATTCCTGTATCTCCAATTCCCTTCAAGACAAACAACTTTACCACGAACTCATTCACCATATCATTGTTTTCATTCTTTGGGGGTCTTTTTCTAACCATAGACTCACGTATAAGAAGTTTATCTTTTCTTTTGCATGGTAATTGCTTTAGCTATAGCTACCTAGTGTCTTTAGAGATCACTTTAAATTCACTCTTTATTTGTGTCTAATAGAGGTTATTGGGTTAATTTTTTCTTCATCTTTTCGATGTTAAGCCGTCACATAAATCTAGATTAAGTTTAGAGTTGAGTCAGATCAAATCTTATTTTAAATAGTAAATTCTTCTCGTATTGTTTTTTTCATCCAAAAACTAAATTTAAGTATGTGATAAAGAATTTCAAAAGTTAGAGTTAATTATAGTGTGAACTCACAAAAAATTATGAAAAAAATTAGTCCATATATATGATGAATACACTCTTTAATTTCCTAGCAGTAGTAGTCCCAGGAGAATGGCTCCTCAGTCCGGAACCCAGAATCGACTGCACATATTTGCCATGTTGAAGAATAAGAGCCGAATCCATCACTTCGATCCGTGACATCGATCGTGAGATCAGGCAGATCGAACAAGGTGTCGTCATCATCAATCGAGGGTGAACTTGAAAGAAGAGCTTGATCTTCTTGGCTTGCTCCAACTTCGGCTTCTTCTTCAGGCCCGGCTTTGATATTGCACTGCCTTGTGTCGAGAAATGTCGAGGCAGCCGCAAGCGAAGAAGCTGCTTTGATGTCCTTGGGGGACGTACTGGCGGGTCGTGGAAGTTGTTTTGCAAGTTGAGGGAAATTAAGGTAAGCTGAGCGGCCCTTGATGGCCAGTGCGGCTACATCATGAGCTCGAGCAGCCATTTCGGCTGTGTGGTATGTTCCGAGCCATATTCTCGATTTCTTCCTCGGTTCTCGGATTTCAGACACCCATTTGCCCCAACTCCGCAAACGAACTCCTCGGTACGTCGGATGCTTCTTGCCATCACCAACATCACTCGTCCTTAGCCTTTTCTTCTTCTCATTATCATTTTCCTTTGACTCCTTGGAACCTTTTGAAGCGGAAGAGAATGTGGTGGCGGAGGCAGCTGCAATGGAGATGATGAGAGAAGAGGTAAGCATGTTATGATGAGCATCATTCTCGATATCTCTTTCCATGACTGATAAGAGGCGTAGTTGTAGGTAAACAAGGAATTTTGAGTGATTTGACATATAACACAGTGGTATAGGACTACGGAGCTTATATGATTCTTCCATGAATTTTTATTTTTAAAAAGAAATAAAAACGCATAATAACGATATAAAGAAGAAAGAATTAAAGAAGGCTGGGTCCATGGCATAAAGCAAATACAGTTCAGCACTTTCAGCTAATTTTGCTAAGCTAGTGACATATTTTATTTTAATATGATTATTAGTATTTAATTTATTAATCAATTAATTTAATTAAATATGTTAAAATATATTCTTTTATCATTTTCATATGCATTAAGAAAGGGTAGGCCAATGTGTGTGTATATATATATATATTGAAATTTGGATATATATATATATATATATATATATATATATATATATATATATATATTGAAATTTAGACCAATGTACATATGCACGTTATTGTAGGGCCCACAAAGGACTCCTTTGAATTTCACATTTATGCCATCATTTTTCTTTTTAACTTTTATTTTAACCTTTTCTTCATGTTCTTTGATTGAATTCGTTTAAGCAAAGTTTCAAATCACGGTTCGAAAATATGATTTCGTTTGTGAAATAGCGATTTCGTCACCGTTCGAGTTATCCGCTACACCCGTAATAGCGCCCACAACGGCCACAATCACGGTAAACTCGAAATGACCGAAAATACGACCGCGACCACGATTTGAAACCTTCGGTTTAAGTACCATAGCCTAAGGTTAGCTCGTTGATGGGTCGCCTTCAGCTTGGGCCAACTATGTCTCGTACATGACCTCCCTGCCATAACTTTCTCACCAGTTAGCCAATTGAATCAAAAGGCCACTTCTTCTGTTCTTCATTCAACACCAGTCCAGGCATAAAAAATCTCATGTACCAGAAATGTGTTAATGAAATAAACTGGCAAACGCAAGTCTCATGACCATGATAGGATCCTAAATGCACATAAACAGCTTGTCAAAGAAGCCATGGCATGTGGGTTCTGTTACATAGCTCATAACAGATGCACTGTAATTTTCTTTATTGATTCGTACGACATACTGATCTTGATTATTAAGTCCTAATAAACTCTGCTAATCATCTTCTCTAGAAGGTATTAGGGGAGGTTATAGTCATATTCACATGTATACGTGTATGTATGACAGGAGCAAGAATGGAGATATACGTTTGCACGTGCGAGTGGGGTCATCCAAGCAAAATTCCTTATTACTATATTAGCCAACGAGTCAACCAGAAACGAAATTAAACCCTCCGCGTAACAACTTGTTACATTCCACATATGATTATATGTGTATGTATGACATTGATCTTGTTACTTTCTGTTGAAATCAAACTTGATTTTTTGTGTTGGCAACACACTTGGCAAATGATGGCAGCAGCTATATGGACAGAAGCTTCATGCAATTAAGCAAATTAAAAGAATTGATACAAGTGTTAAGTAACAACCTTTTACAATTGACAAGATGATTAAGCGGCTTGAATCGTGGATGAACTCACAGCAGTTATTTGAGGCGATTTGGTGTTTAAAGAAATGTAACAGCACAACAAGCAACCTTGATCAAGGCATCAACTAGGATGAACGTGGCAGCAACAAAAGAGATTAGCAAAAAGCAAAAATTACATGAAGCACCAATTTGGTGAGTTGGCAGCATAATATAATGCTATCAATTAAGTAGATAAGTCATAGAATTAAAGATAAATACGGCATGGATTTGCAGCAAACGGAGACGGTGGAACCAAGGGTATAAGTATGTGTTGTAGCTTTAGTTTAGGATGTATGTATGCGAGTGAAAAGTGAAAAAGAAAATTATGAGAGATAACTTAGCAAAGCTTTTGATAGTGGAGTTGTGTTTTTACGCAGCTAGGTTTGTATTGTATTTGTATTTTAGTTCGTATTAATAATAGTGCGAGTTAAAAAAATTATCGAGTGTCTACCTACGCTTTCAACAATTTTCATTCTATATCTTAGATTAATATTATTGATAGGAATAAATTTATCGCGATGACTATATGATTCGCCCTTTTTATTTGAGTGGACAGTTACAATTGTGGTAAAATAGTTGTTGGTCGGTTGTTAAGATCTTTTGTTTCCATGAGGAGTAGAAGAGAGAAGGTGATTGGGAGAGTCTAATCTTTTTTCTCGATCTTGGACGAGAGGTTTATAATGACCCTTAATGCTAATGTTAAACAAAGTTATTACGATTACCCATAAGTTGTGGATGTGATACGTTAACAATAGATTAGTTTATTTCTAAGTACTCCAAAAGTTGTATGGTGTAGATAAGAACATTGCAGGTGTTGGAGATCTTGTCTTTGGACAGAGCCTTGCCCCATTAAACTAAACTTCATATCTCACACCCTCGTGCAATACTGCTGCATACTTTCACGTTTGAATTCCCAAGTTTCTAATGTAAGCTGATAACTTTGTATCCTTGCACCACCAATAATATAACCAGAGGTTCTTGGAACTTACATGTGGACAGTACAGACAATCATTTCTAAACTAATTATCAAAATTAATTTAAACTGAAACTTAATATAGTGAATATTTGAATATAAGACCCCATCCATAACCATGTCAACAAATTCATGATTGGCTTAAAATAATTATTCCCTGAGCATATATCTCCAATAAAAGGACAATTTATGGCACAATAATTGTGATTTGTGAGAGATTGGCCTACATTGTCTAATCCAAACCACCCTTATTGATTTACAATTTCCATTAACAAGCTAGTCAAGTCTAATCAAGCTAGGGGCCGATCAGCAAGCATGTCCATTGTGAACTCTTGTGGGAATAATTCACAAGAGGTTTCTTTGTTAGATTATTATTTAATATCATTGTTACGAATTAGTAAGAAGAAAAATAATTAAAATAATGTCAACGTAAAAAAACACATACAAGATATAAGATTTAACGTGATTTTATCTTTCCTATTTCGACGGAGGAAAAAACAATAATCCACTATAAACATAAATATCATGAAAGTATGAATAATTGGTTACCAAGAAATCTAATTTCATTGTATTTTTGTCTAAAATAAATATTTATTTATTATATAAATTTAATTATTAAATAATCTTTAATCATTATAATTATAATAAAATACAATTTAATTATCGGTTAAAATTTGAATTAATACCTAAAAGTTTAAATAATAACAAAATATAGTAAATGTGAAAGATAAGCCATCGAAGCTGGCTATAAATTGTGGATTGAGATGGACTGGATGTTATATGATATACAACGACCTGTTATTGTTGTTTATTAAATGAACTCAACTTTAATGCAAATATATAATTATATATATTTTGTTTATTTTTAAACTTATTTGTATTTATAGATCTTTTAAAAATATTTTGTATTTATTTATTTAAAATTACATATTTAAATTTATTAGTTTAATATTCATGAACATATTTATTTAGTGATCACGAAAGCAATTATATATATTTATAAATATATGAAATTAAAATTACTGAAATTGATAAATATTCATAATTATTGAAATACAATTTCACTAGAGTTGAAGGTAGACATTCCAAGAAACTTATACTATAAATTAAAAAATAGCATCTAAACATATAAATTTTATCCATGAACAGCGATGAACACTGATAAAATAACACAAAATGCTGGAAATAATGCAAGTAAAAAAATAATGACACAAAATACTAATGCAGTCAATACCACCCATAAGTTCCGGGCAATGTGGCATCTTACTGCCGTTGTTGTTCCTTCCACCTCTTTACCTCATCGGTGCTGACATCATGCAAAATAGTCTCTTCACACCCTCATCATCGATAGCCTTGTATTGACCTACATTTTCAAGCAAGGGGATGAGAAGACGAGTGAATATGATGTCGACTTGGAATGTAGTTTTATATGTGCATAAAGAAATTACCAGGTTCAATGACCTCGCCCGGGTTCGATTTAATTAGGAGCTTCCGGCCATCAAGGTGAGTCAGGGCAAATTCAAACCCACACATAGCCTCTGTCAAACTGAGATTGTGTTCCACATGGAGGTCATCCATCATCCTCTTAAATGTGGGGTGTTTCTTGAGTTGCAAGACAACAACAATGTCACCAGTTGCTATGTCTGGCTGCAAATGACAAGAACAAAACTATGGTCAAACTTGAAATCTGGGAAAATTGTTACTTAAAAAAGGGGCTTCCTTCACTTACAGCCTCGTTAGCTTGTCGCTTGAATGTAATTTTATGACCATCTAGCATTCCTTTCTCAATATGAACTTTCAGTTTCTTCTTTTCTTGAGTAACCTTGTTTCCCTTGCACTGGGGGCACATTAGATCCATGTAAACCTCACCTGCAAGTAAGGAAAATGAAATCCATAATTCCTACATATATGGTGTACTAAACCCCAAAGAAACAAATTTACATACCTGAACCTTCGCATTCCGGACAAGCATCCCAAAAACGGTCATCGTCCCAATGTACTATAGTATTCCATCCTGAACCGTCGCAACCATAACACTTAGAGGAGACTCCCTTTGAACCTTTCCTGAAATTTTTCAGAATGCAAGTGCATAAAATGTAATCAAACGAGCTTCACCGAAACGCTCGGTTCATTTAGACCTTTAATCCAAACTTACATTTTCTATAAAGAAAAATGTAGCAAGCTGTAAAAGTAGCTGTGGTGATAGACGTACCCTCTACATTTACCGCATATTGCGTTCCTGGGAACAGAGAGTTTTTTGGTTGCCCCATTGTACAAATCTTCCAGAGAGACTTGAAGAGGATGCACAACATCTTCACCTCGCTTCTTCCTTCCTCCTTTGTATTTACCACCGCCTGAGCATTAAAAAGGACGAAAAATGGCAACATAATTTTCCTTACTATCAAAGCTTCCATCAAAAGAGAAAAAACACAAAAAACCTTCTCTTACCAGGAAAATATGGATCGTCGTCTCCTCCCATTCCCTCTGTAACATCATCTTCACCGTATTGATCATAAATTTTTCTCTTCTCTGGGTCACTAAGAACTTCATAAGCCTCAACCAATTCCTTAAACTGGGAACAAGTATAGTGTTATAATGGGAAAACAAGTAAAACTCATGCACTTCCTTATAATTTTCCTGTTACCTTCTCAGCGTCTCCACATTTATCAGGATGATTCTTCATTGCACCTTTCTTATAAGCCTTCTTTATTTCATCTCGAGTTGCAGTTTTTGGAACACCAAGAACTTCATAATAGTTGGTGTAGACAGAGTACCTTGGAAAGCGCTCACACATGATTAAATCACTTCAGCTATCTGCGTTAAAAGCCAATATACTTACAGGTTAGGGTTTTGGGGGAAGAAATAAGCGATGCAATTCCCAGTTAATAAATAAAACAAAAACCTTAAACCAATTCATAATAGTTGGTGTAGACAGAGTACCTTGGAAAGCGCTCACACATGATTAAATCACTTCAGCTATCTGCGTTAAAAGCCAATATACTTACAGGTTAGGGTTTTGGGGGAAGAAATAAGCGATGCAATTCCCAGTTAATAATTAAAACAAAAACCTTAAACCAATAAGCACATTAAGCATGCCAAAGAATGATCCAAAGCACTTAATACTAATAGCAGAATTAAAATACTTACCGGCTTATGTTTTGAGAAAATAAATAACAAAAACACAGAAACAAGCTCAAGAGTTATGGTTTTTGCGAGAGAAACACAATCGTTGTAACTGTCGCGTGACGCAGCATAATTCGGCAATCTCCTTCAAAGATCATGTACGAGTAAAAAACAGATAGAACATTACCTTCTTGAAAAACACAATATAATTCTCTAGCGTCACGATCTCTACTTAATTCACCCGATGAAACCAACAAATTTGATTTTAAACTACACAAAGAATTGCGCACAAGTTCATCGGTAGTTGTTAGACCCTTAAGCCTTTATATATATATATATATATTAAAGCCTTAATTTGACTACAATTAGGTTTTAGACTTTTAGTGACATATCTATTTTAAATTGAATTGTATTTTTATATGTATTTAAAAAGTTATAAATAATAAATTTTTCATTTTATATTTAACTAATAATGTAATTATAATAATTTTAGTATTTTTAAAACATTATATGTATTAAATATATTTTAATTTTAACTGATTTTTTATTCATGTACAATAAGTTTGTATATAAAAAAAGTTATAATTATAATAATATTCTAATTTAATATTTAGTAATAATTTATCATAATATTGTTTTTTACCATTATTAAGGCTGAAACTGTAGAAACTTAGAGTTTTCTTTATGCAAAATTTTTACGTACGTGTGTATTGTTGAATTTGTATCTTAAGGGTGAAAATTTTAAATAATTATTGTAATTCATATGAATTGCTTGAGATAAATAAATTTTTGTATGTTATTTATTTATTTTGTTGTACATATTTTCTTTAAGATTGATGTGTTATAAAACGATTAAGTAGAAAATTATTTATTGGTTTTTCTTATCATTTAACTAATGATAAATTATATACAGATTAATTACAACAAATGAAATTAACATATGATAATTCTGATTGAGTGGAATATGGAAGTTGGACTATCCCCAGATCTTGCTGAGACCAAACTTCTCGAGTTTTTTTTGTTTTTTTAGCCAACTCAAGTGGCATTATAAAACTGTGTTTTACCTATGCTCTAAGAAGCAACAGCAATAACCAAGCCAAAACCAAAACAGAATTATGCAAACCCCTTAAGAAAGAATCCCCAAGCCATGACCTGTCGAGTCAAAAGACACAGGCGCAAAACACCTTCCCATACTCATTCGAAAAGAACAAGAGAAGAAAATGTGGTCTCATGTCTCTAAATGACCACAAAAAACGCATTGGACATCCACAACAACACCCCACTGCAACAATCAATCCTTAATGGAAATCCTCCCCAATAACAAGCCAAGCAATAATTGCATTTCTAGGATAATACAATTTGACATTAACTTGTTATTGCATTATGATAGAATGAAATTATCCGACTATTGTTTGATTTGATAAGCAAGCTTAGTTTTATAATATGGAAAAAAGGCTACTTAATAAACTTTTAAATACAAAGTTAATTTATTGAAATATTTTTGAATTATGATAAATTAATAATATAATAAATTTTGGGACTAAAAAATCTATTACATCATATTATATTACACGTTTATTTTACTTTTACATGGAGTGATGTGTTTCTAACAATATTTTATTAATTTATTAGAATTTTTTAAAAATTTATTATTTATTTATTATTAAACTCATAATTAAATAATTTACGTATAATTTACTCTAATGCGACTGATGAATTAGTTTATGTGTTAAACTCAATATAGATCTGTAACATTTCAAAAACCGGGTTAGTGACTAAAATGAAAGTTTTTGAAATTTGGTGATCAATTTAGGAAAAATTGAAAAGTTCAGAGACTTAATTGGAGAATTTTGATGTTGGATTTAATAGAAAAATTTAAAAGTGGAAAGGACATAATGGTTATTTGATAAGAAAAATAATTAAAAATGTATGCGAATAGTATTACAAACACGTGGAAATGGGATGATAAGTAAGAAGGAGTCTAGAATTTTCTATCTTCTTCTTTCTTCCTCCTTTTCACTGTGAGTTATTGCATAAGGTGAGTATGCTTTCTATGGATTAATTCTTTCATTTTAAGGTTGGTTTTGATTCTTGGAGTTTTAAGAAAGTTTAAGGAAAGGTTATAGTGGTGTAAAACTAAAAGATGGACAAGTTATGGGTGATTTATTAAAAGGAGGATTTAAGTGAATTGATGAAGAAGTTATAATTGATTTTTAAGCCATATTTGACTTGTCAAGGATCTAATTAAAAAGTTAGAATCATAGAAGTGAATTAAGAACATGTTGAATAATTGGTAAGATTTTTAGGTTCAAGTGTTCTAATGAGATATTGAATGTTTGGATGTGTTAAAGTAATATAAGATGGTTTGAGTAAGTATATTTGAGTTTAATGAATCGAAAGAAGTTAGTAGAGTGGAAATTAAGTAAGTTTTGGGAAATTTTCGGGTAAAATAAGTAAGTTCTGGGCATGGGGTATTGGTACTGTTCATCCAATATCGATACTTCAAAGCTAAAGGAGTATAATTAAGCTTAGGGTATCGATACTGAAGGAACAATACGATATCATATGATATACTCCGATGAAATATTTAAGAAGTATCGATACCTAAAGAGTGGTATCGGTACTGGTTAAAGGGGTATCGATACCAAGTGTCTAATATCGATACCATTATCAAGTTATAAATACAAAATGTCAAAATGGTATCGACCTAGGGGGTATGATACCATAGGGTAGTATCTGTACTATAGTAAGAGTATCAATACTATTAAGCTTGAAATGCTAAATTAGGTTCTTTCAGCCTAAGTTATATTGATTAGTTATAAGCGATTCGAAATCTGATATCATATAAGTCGTATAATTGTGTAAAATCGGTCGGAAGCGAGTATCTAATGAGTCAACAAGAAGATCGAGCAAGAAAGAGATAAGTGCTTGAATGGACTAGTGGAGCCAAGTGAGTGTATATTAGTTGGTATATGATTTTAATGGAAACAGACTTGCGATGAGTCTATTTCCTATATTAGAATGCATGAATCATGAATATGAGCATGTTTTAATATGAGTATATGTGTTATAGTTATTGTATATATTACATGATCTGTGTGAATATATGTTAGTGTAAGCCATGTGAACTGTATAAATGATCTATGTGATTATATAAGAATATGATATAAGTTATGATATGAACATGTGATATGTGACTATAATATATGCTACCTGATATATATGAACATAAAGAACAAAATATAAGTTATATGATATGCTCTGTGAATATATGTATGTGATTTGGTTGACTATGTGAATAGTGATAACAAAGAAAATGACACAAGCTATGAGACTATACGAAAATGTACATGAGCTATGTGATAAGAATATAAGATTGTATGTCTATGTGATATGATTATAAATTGTGATAAATGGTAAAGCTCATGTTACGTGATAGAGAGGGGTATAGTTGGCATGCCAAGAGTCGAGGGATCTATGTGGTCCTTCAGGATATATATGAAATCCTTTGAAACATATATGCGGTACTTCGGGACACATATTTAGTCCTTTGGAATATATATGTGGTCATTAAGGAGAAATCTATGTGGTCCTTCAAGACATATAGTGATCCTTCGGGACATTTCTACGTGGTCCTTTGGGACAATTTTTATACACCCCTCAGTGGGAATTATACAAGTTGTGGTGACAACATTTGTGCACAACCTCAATGTACTCACATATCTTAGTTCTCACAAGTACCATGGGCAAATAAAAGGGATAACATAAAATGTATGTAATGTTATGTGTTTTGCTTAGTGAAATGTATGATATGTGCATAAATGCTAAGGATAATCACATGATTAAAAGGATGACAATATGATGATAAAAATAAGAGTAAATAATGATAATTGATATAATATATATGTATGTATGCAATTAGTAATATGTATTATGCAATTGTTATATAATTGTTATATGCTTTTGTATGATACTATGTGTGAATTGTTTATGCATTGTTAAGTAATTAAGTTCCATCATACGTTTTATGTGACTCATAAGTCATAGACTTAGTGTGAGTGTTTCACACGTAGGTTCCGAAGTAAGAAGGTTAACTTCTTCTTTCCAAATATCAGATCAGAAAAGTAATTTGAATAATATGTATTTTGTTATATGGAATGTAGTTGGCATGTAAATAATAGATTGATTTGTATATGTGCTCTGATAAGTTTTGTAAACTCTTTGGTTGAAATTGTATAAATTATGTAGTTTTATGTAATAAAAGTTGGAAATTTTCATTATTTGTAAAAGTTAATGTTTTGAAAAGTTAATGTTACACTCGGATTTGTATTCAGGTCGGATACGGGTTGGTGTTACAAGATCTTCAACACATACTCTTTAATCAAACTTTAAAATCATAAATTAAAGTTGAAATTACGATGTTAGAAGATAAAATCTTGATCATAAATTAACCCAACGTAAAAACAATATATATTTAACATGCAAACACTAGAAAGTTTTCAAATTTCAGACTTGATTTTTCGTAGTTACCGGATAAGTATATTATAAAGTTATAACATATAAAGTTGAAATTTTTTTTATAAAGTTATATATTTCATGTCCCGGTTGATATTTAAGGTTTGATGCGGTGCAGCTACCATGGTCCATATTCCATGGATGTTTTTGGTACAT